CACCAGTCTTTCAACTCTCTCAGCAAACGTAGCTCAACCAGCTTGCTGTTGAGGGGGGCGGATATTGGCGAGTTGGTCCTGCTGGTCTGGAGGGGTTAGCCTTTAGCCTTTAGTATGGATCCCGGCTGTCTTCCTCCTCCTTTGTTTACATTCGTACCGTTTGCGCTTCCTTCTCTCTCGGGTAACTGCCCTAGTCTCCAATCGGACTCCGTGTTGGTGCAGCATGTCCAAATCACAACCAAGTGCCACAATTCCAGCGCCGTTCACTGTCCTGACGCTCAACAAAGTCTCACGGCTGCAAGTTTTGCGTCTGGGATAGACAAGACACTCAAAACGTTCACTTTTGTTGTCTCCTGAAGGGGCCGCTGCGTCTAAGCGCGCCACCATCACAAAAAGTATTTAACTCTGAGATAAATGCCTTCTTATGCATTTTGTTTGCATCTGGGTAAAAAGGATGGTCCAACCTGAAGTTTCCTACATTAAAACTGGGGAACTGCATCCAGCAATTTCTGTAACTTTTAAAACCGACAAGCCGACGGGTACACCTATTTCCCTTCAGTTTTGAATTGCTATTGCATTAGTCGACTTTAATTGTGTTAAATTTTACAATGCATTGGGTTTTAAATGTGTCTACTCTGATTTTTAGTGTCTTGACTTGTGTTACTGTGGTGTGTAGGCTGGTTGATGTGATGCAAAAGTGTGTTTTAGGTGAAAGCGGTCTTTTATTATTACATTGTTCATTCAGTGTACTGTGTGAATGGGGTTCACACAAAATAACTGATACCAACTATTAGCCATCATGGAGACCAATAACCAATATTTGTGCCAGTGTGCGCTGCATATTTTTCACATTTTATTGTTGATTACAATGCTATTACTGTATGCAGTCCTGAATTATTCCAAAAGAAAGCTGAGGGAGGCGGCTATGTGCTGGCCATGCGGTGGGGCAGTTAACGAGATGTGCTTTTGCATAATTGACCGGTTTGTCTTCAGTGTTTTGCTTTTAAAGTTACTGTTGGAAAGCACAGCTCAACTTTGTTCTCAAGTTTTTTTTTTCATTTTGCTTTGTTATTCTCTCTCTCTCTCTCTCTCTCTCTTTTGAGTGTGATATGGGTCCATTTTTCTTTTTTAGAGTCTTTGAGGTACCATCAGGTGGTGGCAGTTATTTCTGCCCTCTGACTTTAAGGGGCAGTAATGAGTCTCATTCCAGCTTGCAACACGAGAAAGAAGTGAAGAAAAAGATGCTACCCTGAAAAAAAATTACTTTGGCACGGGACACAAAGTGATTGCTGCCTCGCCACTAACGTTACAGATAAATATCACGCATAAACAAACTTAATGAACATTAAATTAGCCATTTTAAATGCATCAAAGTGCTTTATGCTGAACATTTGTTTATCTTTTTTTTCTGCTAATCTGCCTACGCTAAACCCAAACATAACAAATTTAGATATTGTCAGTGGAATTAATGTTTAAACTATTGTTTTGTAGTGTTATCACTGGAACAGATAATGACTTTTATGGCAACTTCAGCATTTACATTCTGCCTTATTTTAACAAAAACTGTCTCTCATCGAGCTGATGATTTTGTGTGTGTGTGTGTTCTTTTTCCTTTGCGTCTCTTCTGCAAATATGGAGCATAGTGTTGATTGACTGTTTACTCATGCAGTATAATCAATCTCATAATGCTGTGGGCTGGACACTGAGCCAGACAACAAGCAGCGAGCATTCAGAGCGAGACAGCTGCATCAGCTTTCAGATTAGACAAACTATAGACTGCTGTAACAACAAAAAAAAAGCCTGATATGATGGGTCAGGTCGAGTGTGATGTGTGCATGTTCATCATTTCCACGACCACACAGTGGTCAGGATCAGCGTGTGGTAGCTCAGATTGTTTCCACAAGGAATTTGAGCTTTGATCCTTGAAAGTGGGCATGTTCTTTGGAGGTGTGTGTCACTACAGTTCCTCTGTGACCTTTAACCCTTTATGGGGCAAGTAAACCATATTGGGTAACTTCCTTGGGTGTTCCATATGTCCACCCGGTGCTTCTCCTTGAGGTTGAGGAACCACTTTGATTTAATTTTTATATTAGTGCCAATATCACTTCCTTATGAAAACTGTCACTAAACAAATGTTCAAACGCTTTGTTTATGGTTTGCATTGAACTCCACTTTGATTTATTTTTTGAGATTAGTGCCACTAATACCTCTACTCCAAGAATAATGTAGTTAGTAAATGAACTTGCCAAGCACTTTATAAATACTTCCTAAATGGGTTTTTTTTGCATATTGTTACTTTTTCTTTTATTTATTACAAATTCCATCCATCCATTATCTATACACCGCTTAATCCTCACTAGGGTCGTGGGGGGCTGGAGTCTATCCCAGCCGACTTAGGGTGAAGGCAGGGGACACCCTGGACAGGTCCTGGACAGTCCATCGCAGGGCCACACTTAGAGACAGACAACCAAGCACACTCACATTCACACCTACAGACAATTTAGAATCACCAATTAACCTCAACATGTTTTTGGACTGTGTGGGAGGAAGCCGGAGAACCCGGAGAGAACCCACGCTGCATGGGGAGAACATGCAAACTCCACGCAGAAAGATTCCGGTGCCCCCACCGGGACACGAACCGGCGACCTTCTTGCTGCGAGGCAGCAGTGCTACCAACTGCGCCACCTTGCAGCCCCTACAAATTCCTTCTTTTTTTTTTTTAAAAACTGTAGACTGGCAAGTTACCATATATGGTGAGTTTATTAATCTTGATTTGCAACATTTTTTTTTAAAACTCACCAAAGTAAAAAAAAAATATCTTAAAATATCCTTCAATAACACCTTCGGGTTGAAATTTTCATTTTCCAAATATTTCAAGGAGTGCCCTATAAAGGGAGGGGGAGCTCAACCGTTACAATGTGTATTTCTATACAGCACCTTTGGGTTTTTAATTATATGAGTGTATATGACCCGTTCTCTTGACTGTGTGTGATGAAGTCCTGAAGTAATTACATCTAGAACAGGTGCTATAGGTGGCGTATATGTCATCAAAGACCCCCCCACATTACTTTCTGCAATCATGGGGAAGATTGCACGTTCTGCAGGATAGATTTCATCGGCTTATCGTGTGTAAACATGCGTGAATACAATATGTTCCTTAAATGAAAATTGGTTCCCCATTTGAAAAGGAGCCACTGATTTGAATATGTTGATTAGCGCTGATTGCCTTTAGGTAGAGCTGACAATTTCTTCATCAAGAGGGACAAGCCATTATTGTTAGCTTCTCCTACATTTCACACAGGTGCCGCCAGTCAGATTGTTTGGCTTCAATCAACTGTTGTATAAATAAACATTTGCAGCTGTTTAATATGCAACAATTATTTAGAGCCCTTATTTCCATGCATTTGCATATAAGTGCTTAATCAAATAAGACTTTCCATCTCTGGTGGTGTTTCTAAATGACAGAGGCCTGCACTCAGTGAATGGGATCAAGGCTGTTCATGCACACTGCCCATTGAGCTGGAATGATTCAAAGCACATTACATCTGTCATACTTTGCGGAGCGCCCATCGCTCTAAACAGAGTGGAAAGATAATACAGTGAAGCCTATCACACGCCCCGTTGAAAATAATTAATCCAGGATACATGTGTTAGGAAACAGACAAGAGAGGTATTGCACAATAAACGGAGTGGAGCGCTCATTTGTTGTTTGGCAAATTTGTTACCTGACTCTGTGAGAGTGGGTGGTGTGTGTGCGTCTGCGTGTGCGCGATCTCTCGGATGTTAGCGTGTGTAGTTCACATCCGTGTTTGCGTGCCCACATATAGTCACACACAAGTCCTGTTTGTCACAGCTTGTCTTGTGTGTATGTCGTTTTTTTTGTGTGTGTGTCCACAACTTGCATTTGTCCCTCACGCCTGTGTGGTGTTTGGTGCTTGTGACTCCCGGGAGTCCACCGGATGCTCCAAAATAGAGCACAGACAGGTGTGACATATTAGAAATTTGGTTTCGACTTGCATAAACAGACCACTAAACAATGAATATCCATCCATAACAAATAGCACAACGCAGAGAGAGAGAGAGAGAGGGGGGTGAGTGAGGGAGATTGAGAGCGAAGAGGATGGAACAGGGGGGGAAAAAAAGGATTTTTCCATTTCAACGGATCAACGACTTTCCAATTTTAACACAATTCTCATTTGGAATTCAGACCAGAATGCAGCAAGATATTAATTTGGGGAAATCAACAGAGAAATTGGGTCACCTGTGAGCTATTCATTTCATGCAGCCAAAACAAATAAGCAATTTAAAAGGGAGAGGGAGAGAGAGGGCGAGAAGAGGAAGAGAATAAAAAAAGAAAATGATGTAAGTGCAGAGATATAATGAAAGAGGGGAGGAGAAGAGAAGGAAAAGTTGGTTCAGTGTATAAGTAGGAAGATTTGTCCGACTGATGTAGAGGCTGATGGAGATAGGGGAAGGGGAAGGTTGTTCTGAGAGAGATTGAGTTTGGAGCCTAATAAAAATTGGCAGACAGTGAGTTTGCATTCACTGCAACGCATAAACACAGAATGTAAAGTAACGGCGGCAGCATGTGGCTCAATCAGACTTTAAAGAGGAGAGCAGAGGTCAGGGTCACGGGTCCATTTAGCTCATTTAGGCTGAGAGTAATTGCCTTTTTTTGCGGACATACTCGCACAGACGAGCAGTTCCAAGCAAGCCGACGCGCTCGCACATACGGTGGAGTTTTGAATAGATTATGCGAAGCAGATGCAGCCTGGCAGATGTGAGGGAGTCAAGTGCGACAACTAATACGAGTTCAAATGCTGTTGGTTATGCAGGTTAATGCGGTATCGACTGGTGTCCGGAGAAGTGAGGGTGGAGTTCACAGGAGAGAAAGTGAAAGCAAAGAACATCTGGAAAACGATTTGGATTTTGTTTGTGAGCGTGCAAAAGAAAATTTGGTGTTTCATTAATCATCTTTCTCCCTCTTCTCCCCTCTGCAGGACAGTCCATTGATCCTCCAGTCGGACAGAAATGTGACCGTCAATGCTAGGAACGATCAGGGACAACTGACCGGTCAGCTAACCGTCGGTAAGACGCACACACCGCGCAAAGACGAGCCCGCACATCGGCAGGAAGCGCTTCCTTTTCGAAACAACCATTTCTCTAAGACAGTTACATATATTGCTTTGTTTGTGCTTGAATTCCTAAATGCATTTCACCTCTTTCTGTTTACCAAACTAAATGCTATCTGTTTCCATTAGTGCATCTCACTGAGGCTGACAGCCGTGTTGTTTTCTTGACTAAATCATTTTTCCCGGCTCTTATTGGATTAGTGAGGGCCCAGTGTCCTCGAGAAGACGGCATCCGAAGGACATGCGATGTATATGACTTTCCATATTTTAGAGGGCTCGGTAGACGTTTAAATGAAAAGCGGTTTGAACAAAGAAGATGTTGCGTGCCTAGTAAAAAAAAAAAAAAAATTACAGTAAACAACATGACTTTATGAGTTTTCTACAATTTGCGGCTGAGCAATGCAGGGAGATCACAGTCAGCGTGATGTGCTGAAGTGTTCAGGATAAGCGTTTAGCAGCAGTGTTCTCAACAAGTTTCAAAGTTTTGAATAAGTAAGGTGGCAAGAGTCAAAAGAGTGGGAAGAAGAAAATTACAAAAGAAAATACAAATCTGAAGGGAAATTATGCGTCAAAATGAGTGTCAAAGTTTCAGTAATCGAAAGCATTTGGCCTCTGGTTATAGAGCTGATTACCAAACAACAGAAACAAGAGTTTCATTCGTTGTGGTGCTGATGAGGAACATCAAAATAGTGAATGAAGCTCAGTCCTGGGAATTTCAGTTTGAGCGGCGTTAGTTTGAAATGGGTTCTTTAGTCGACCATTTGGGTCTACGATTTAATGCACTTTACTGGAGATGGAAACACCTTTTCTGAACAAGTTCTGATGTAGCAAACATTTAAGTCACATGACTGATCTGCTTCTGTTGTGGTAGACAGCATGAAGCATGTCCAATACTAGCAAAGACATACTGCAGAGGCTGATTGTTGGAGTGGCTGCAGGTGATTGGAGGTAAAGGTGATGATGGAAATAGCACAGAGGCCTAATTCAGGTCCTAATTTCACTTGTGTCTTCTTTGCAAAACTGCTAAAGCTCTGTCAGGTTGCACTGGAGTCATTAGTGAACAGCCCATTTAAATTCCAGCCACAAATTCACAATTGGATTAAGGTCTGAATTATCCATTTCAAAACATTCATCTTTTTTGTCATTGAACCATTTCGATGAAGTTTTAACTAAATGCTTTAAGTCATCGTCTCACTGGGAAACAACATCCATCCATCCATTATCTATACACCGCTTAATCCTCACTAGGATCGCGGGGGGGCTGGAGTCTATCCCAGCTGACTCAGGGCGAAGGCAGGAGACACCTGGACAGGTCACCAGTCTATCACAGGGCTACACTGAGAGACAGACAACCAAGCACACTCACATTCACACCTACGGACAATTTAGAATCACCAATTAACCTCAACATGTTGTTGGACTGTGTGGGAGGAAGCCAGAGAACCCAGAGAGAACCCACGCTGCACGGGGAGAACATGCAAACTCCATGCAGAAAGATTCCGGTGCCCCGACCGGGACACGAACCGGCAAACTTCTTGCTGCGAGGCAACATTGCTACCAACTGTGCCACCCTGCAGCCCCGGAAAACAACATCTACTCCTAAATGACAAACTACATCAGGTTGTCCTCCAGGATTTTGCTATATTTTTACCCTCCACCCAAACAAGCCTTCCAGGGCCTGCTGCCAAAACTCCACATCATGATGCTGCCACCACCGTGCTTCATGGTGGGGATAGAGTGTCTGCAGTGTTTGGTGTCCATCAAACATAGCGTCTAGCCTGGTGGCCAAAAGGCTCCGTTATGAGTTTCATCACACCAAAGCACCCTCTTCCAGTCGACTTCAGAGTCTCTCACATGCCTTCTAGTGAACTTTAGTCAAGCTTTAACATGAATTCTTTTTCAACTGTGGCTTTCTCTTTGCCACTCCCCCATAAAGCTTTGAATGGTGAAGACCCCCAGGCAAGTATGCGTCTCTCCCATCTCAGCTGCTGAAACTTGTGACTCCTGCAGAGGAGTCATATGTGTTGGCAGCCCTTCCTCACTCGTCTCTTTCTTGCACAGTCACTCAGTTTTTAAAGGATGGCCCGCTCAAGGCAAATTTCGGCATTTCCCATATTCCCCCTCATTTCTTCATGATGATTTAACTGTATTCCAAGGGTTGTTCAGTTCCTCAGAATTCTTCCTGTATCTGTCTGCCGACTTCTACTTTGCGGTGTCCATTTTACTGAATTGCTTCGAGTATTTATTTGTCTTCATGGTTTAGCTGTAGCCAGGATTACTGATGTACCAGTGACTGGACCTCCCAGATAAAGGTATCTTTATACAATCACAAAAACTGTGACTGATTGCACTAACTGGCTGCAGTTGTGTGGAATTGGTTGAGTAACTTTAATGAGGGTGAATACTTGTTTTACAATTTCAGTTTTTAATTAACAGACATGACTTTGTAGACCTCTGTTTTCATTTGACAAGAAAGAGGTTTTATTTTTCTAAATTCTTGTCAAAAAAAAAGCCAAATTACATTGAACACAATTCAGTGTTATGAAGCAAAAAAGAGGGAAACCTCCCATGGGGTGAGTACTTTTTCATAACCGCTGTGCTTGAAGCAGAGAGGTGGTGTTATTACTTTGTGGTGTTAGTTACAAAGAGAAAGAGCTCGTGACAGAAGCAGCTAGATTATGGTCAAAGCTTGTTGGAAAAAAAATCTTACATTGCATTCACATGTTGTTGGGAGGGCTACAAGGTGATGCAGTTGGTAGCACTGTTACCTCGCAGCAAGAAGGTCGCCGGTTTGCGTCCCAGTGGTGGCACCGGAATCCCTCTGGAGTTTGCATGTTCTCCCCGTGCAGTGTGGGTTCTCTCCGGGTTCTCCGGCTTCCTCCCACACAGTCCAAAAACATGTTGAGGTTAATTGGTGATTCTAAATTGTCCGTAGGTGTGAATGTGAGTGTGCTTGGTTGTCTGTCTCTAAGTGTAGCCCTGTGATTGACTGGTGACCTGTCCAGGGTGTCCCCTGCCTTCACCCTGAGTCAGCGGGGATAGACTCCAGCCCCCCGCGACCCTAGTGAGGATTAAGCGGTGTATAGATAATGGATGGATGGATGTTGTTGGGAATTTTTATCATTTATTTTTTCATCTCATGTTTCCAAAAATCCTGTTGTCATCAGTCGTCACTGGAACAAAGAGAGAAGATGAAGCCTTCTTAGATCTTACACGAAGGACAGGCGACAGTTTCTTCCAGTAACCTCAGAAAATGAGCAGAAAATGACATGCATTAACTTTATGAAACCAATAGCAGAAATTACAGAGAAGAAGAGCGCCCTAACAACATCTTTATGAAAAAGCTAGTAAAATATTCACAACTTCAAATAAAGGATGTCTGCAAATGTGGCATTCGCTACTGATTTAGTCTGACTTACTCGATGTAGATTGCACGTTTAGGCCATGCATCTCAAGCAGCCTTCCTGTTCCCCTCTGCTGTATATGTGTTACAAAATAAGAAACAAATAAAACAAGCTCCCATTTAGCAACCTACCTCACTGAAAACATTGTACCAGAGGTTTGCATGCAATAAAACAGCTCTGCTCACATGGTAATTATCCATCTTAAGCAACAATGATTATCAGTTGTCTTATCACACTAACCTTTACAGATATTGATGTTACATTTTCTCCTCAGAAAGACCAGGCTCTCTGGTACCGAGCACCAATAATAAAAGAAATAAAAATAACTCCGCAATTTTATGTTGCTTTCACTTTTTTAATGGAAAAATCCAACATGTTTGAAATCCCTGCTGCTTAGCTACTGTTTTATCTCGCAGTGCTTTTGTCACATAACTGCCCAGTGCTTTCATTATGTCAGTAGGCATTTGCAGTTTTCCATTATGTTTTGTGTCATGGTCATTTTAATGTTTGGCCTGTAGTGAATTCAGAGTGACTTTACCCTTCCTCTACCCTCTAAAATAAGTAGAGAAGTAACCCTCTTCTTTTCTTTTCTTTTGTCTGTAATCAGATCTGTTTTGTTTGGATGGAACTGCAGATGAGATCTTATTGCTTATTGATGCTGTCAGAAACACTTTCAGATTTAGCATATGAGTGGAGCAGCCAGAAAATGCTGGGAGTGTGTGAATGACTAATGAAACATGTGGTTGCATTTGGAAATGAATCACGACTTCTCTCTCACTTTGTGTTGTGTATGGGTTTTTTTTTTTTTTCCTACGTCTTGCTAAAAACATTTGCAAAATTAGGATTAATCGAGTGCTTCACACCTGACAAGTTGAATACTAAAGGGACAGTAATTCATGTCATGAAAGTTAAAGGAATTAGCAAAAAAGTATTTAAAAAAACAAATCATTTATCATCATGGAAGGATGAATTGGACTATCCCTGATGTATTTGTCGTGACATAAACTCGGAGCATGGACAACACACTCGGGTTGCCATTTATAGATTAGAATGTTAAATGAACAAACTACTTTTGCTTAGTTTTGTCCCCACTTGAAGCACATTTACCTAGACATAACTGTGAGTTGTTTGGTGGTGACGTCAGGATGCAGGGAAAAAAAAATCGTTGCCTGGTAGCATTTACAACCTGACAGGTGACATGAATGGTATTTTCAGGTAGAAGGCTCCTATCCAAAGTCTTCCATTTGATGTGAATGCAGCATATAGATATTCATCTCCTGTAGGCTGGCCGGGCACTTCTAGTGTCTTTATACACACACACACTTTCCCTTTCTGACACTTTGAAGGTTTGAAATCCCTGACAGCTCACCTCCTGCTGTTAAAACTCCCTAAAGCTGCTTTCCTCACCAAGAAAAGCACTTTAATGCGTATGTGTGTCTGAATGAGTGTGCGTCTGCGTGCCTATCTTGCAGTCAGCAGAATCAGACTGTTTTAAGACTAGACAGCCTCCAGCCAACCCAGTCAGGCTGCTACAGGATGGCATAAAGAAGAC